AAAACAAAAAACAAAACAAAACAGTGACAGGAATGGCCAATTCATTTTCAAAGCAATGGATTATTGTGTGCAGAATGTGTCAAACTTTACTCACAAAAACACCATAAAGCTGACATTAAAATATAGATGAATACAACCACTTGTTTTTGTTTTTTGGTTTACGTTATCAGAAGAATCACAAATAAATATCTGTGCCATTTCGGAAAAGCAATTAGTTCATAATATGTTAACTCAATGTGGAGGACATACTGTAGATCTTTAGCTCTACTAAAGAATCTCACACCCCTACAACCCACTTTAACTAAACAGTTTTATTTTAATGTATAAAGAACAAGCACTCAAATCTATAGTAGCTCCTTGGAGGCTTTAAAGATTCTGAGTTGGGCGCAGGAGGATTAGGATCCCCTCAGTCTTCTGTGTCCATACAGTAACTGTAAAACTGTAAAGAGAAACTAACACAGCATCACTTCTCCTGGTTGCTCCTCTGAAGGATTCCCCTCGAATAATACAGCAAGTCAATTTGACTAACATAAAAGGTAGCACTAACAAGTGCGAGCTGCTGATAAGAAAAGCCTGCAGAGACTCGGATGGAGGAACGAAAAGTGGAAAAGTGGAACCCAGTCAACTATAAAATGCCAAATCGTTACACAAGAGAGATGGCAGGACTCCATATTAGCAGCCATGAAAAAAGATAATCACCAGGGAGTTGCATTCTCTAATACCATAATTGCATCATGAGAAGCAACATAGAATATCCACCACTTCCTGATTAGCTTGTAGGGTTCTAAAACACGCATCCCTGTTGAATAAATTAGGTTTTTACTTTCCTTATCTTATTTACAGTTGTCTGATGTTTTTTTCTACATTATAACCTATATGACTGTTATCAAGAGACTTTAGAACATCCTGTCTCTGCTACCTCATTCAACAAGCAGGGAATAACTGCTTTTATTAGATTTTAGAAGAAATTTTTGATCCCAGTAGCAACCTAGAAAAGAAATTAGTCTGGGCTTTATTGGCTCAGACACAAAGGCGAGCAGATTAAAAAGAAGTGAGATGATTGAACTTCTCTTTATGCCGTGGTGTGTCCTTTGTGCCAGGCTGCACTGTCACTTTGATGCTATCTGTGTCATTTGAGCCTTATTCGGTGCCTTGGGTGCCTCACACAAAGGATTATGATGCACCAGCAGAGGCCTTGAATGGGCTTGAGTAGAATTCTCCTTTTGACTCACTTCAAGTGTCACTCATTATCAAAGTACATCAATGCAGGGAAAGACTCAGTAATGAACTGTATGTCATATCAAGATAGAATAAGCCGGCCAATTGAATTTTAATACATTAAAACTAATTGATATCTGAAAAATTAGCCTGCACTGAGACGGTTATTCAATTTCTGTAAAAAAAAAAAAAAAAAAAGCATATGTGGCTGCTATTTCTGCATTATTTCGGAATCAAATTTATTCAACTCAGTTTTTAGATTGGGAATGAACCAAAATCCAACACCTTAAAAAGCTAGAAAAGCACAAACTCTAAAACAGAGGTCACGGATTAGTGGACCACGGTCCGAATCCGGACCCACCTGCAGGCTAATCCGGACCCAACCTGATTTAAAACATTTATAAATTACTGAATGTTGTCCGACAACAATGTCTAACCTCACTTGCGCCACTTCTCCTATTAATAGGATAAAGCCCTCCGGAGCGTCTGGGACCAGACTGCAGGTGATATTTAGGGATATTTAGGTGAAATTACCCAGTGAACTCTGTCAGTCTGGGGGCCACTGCTGTGAGCTACCTTTAGACACAGCAGGCAAACCTGTGGCAAGCTGGTCAATGGGAAAGAAGGAGAAGACAATAAGAGAAAGTAAGCAGAGAAAATGTGGACTGCTGGAAGAACGGCTGTGAACTGATGACAGAAAAGTTTAATGGCGTGCTGAAAGATGACCCTGCACATTTTAGGTATGTTTGGCTCAACCTGCTGCTGTGAAGCAGGATTCCCTGCCATGACCATAATCAAAATAAATATTGATCCAAGCTCACAATAGGGGGTTTTCAGGTGACGTCCCGCTCACGTGACTACTCAGCGCGTCCGCCATATTGGGTGGCAGCCTTAGGCAGTATTGACAGTGAAAAATGGTGAAATCGTGTGTAATTGTTGGTTGCACGGCCCATGGAGGTGGAGATCAACGCTCTTTCTATCGCATGCCAGCCGTAATCGTAAATCAATGTGAAAAACAAAACAGCTATCTGAACAACGGCGTCACCTATGGCTGACACGGATATCCAGGTCCAATTTGGACGGTGTTAAGCTGGAATACGCCAGAGTCTGCAGTGCTCACTTTGTCACAGGTAATTAACTGTCAAGCATTTAAAACATGTAAGAATATATTAATAATAGGGCTTGGGCATCATGACGTATTACTTTCCGTGGCCGCAATGTTGACTGCCTCCGCCGCCGCTACTCAGACTACTGCCTATGACTACCGCGTACTGGACTCCCTCTCTCAGCCGTGTTTTAATTTGATTAATTTCACCTTAACTTGATTTCAACCAGCGGGGAAAGGCTCAAATATGTGAGAAACCCAGAGGGTTTAGGGAGGTTTGGCAGTTAACGTTACTAACCAAACCTTTGAAACACATAGCAGCTAGTTAAAAGTACATTACATGCCTGAGTGGTTGTTAGCACTAACGGTTAGCACTGTTTGCTGGCTTTATGAGCTGCAGCTCCTGAACCCATCCATTCGTAAACTGCACATGAGACTCCAAGGACTTGTAGCTTTGGAACTGTTCGCGCACCGCCGGCCGTTAGCCAGCTAGCATAGCGAGCCCTGCGTCGGATTGTTTACATTTTTACCATCTTATTAAAACTCACCCGTCCATGTATGATGGCGATTTCCTTCATGTACATCACTTTGACATCTCGTACCCAACCAGATGTGAACTGGTTGTGAGCCTCTAGACCCTTGTACGCTCTCATTTCCTCAAGAGTGTGCAGAGGGTTTTCACTGAACACCGGGTAATGAACTATGTCGCCGTGCTCTACATTTGGCCAATCATCTGGATTAGTGCTAAACAAGGCACCGTGGAGGGCATAGGGGTCCATATGGTCGATCACGGAACATTTCCTCAGATATGTTCCATGATCTGGTGGCTCTAGCGTGCTGGTGTACTTATCCATTCGCGACATGATATATATGATATACGATAATATGCCACCCAAGATGGCGGACCGGACGCTGGCCAGTGACGTCACTGAAAACCCCCTATTGAGCATCTTGATATGTGCTTGAGAATAGCTTTGTCGCCAATCGAACCATATTTAAAAAACTTTCAGGGCAGCGAAAAGCCCACCTCTCTCATTAAGCCATAACAAAAAAAAGTTGGTTTAGGTGTTTTATAAAATATGTGAATCATAAAATTGTCTATATACCAAACAGAACGATTTTTGTTCTCTACTTCAAAAACAATTTAGATTCTAAAATGGAAAAATTTTCTATTTTTTTTTATATCTTTTTATTTAAAAATTCAATGTAAAATGGATGCATAAAAACCTAATTTTATTTCTGTGTTAAACTCTGTTTAAAGTAACAGATTATAATTAAAAATGTCTCCGGACATTTACTGGTTGATGATTTTCTTTAATCAGACCCAGCTGTTTTTTTAATTGGTTACCCCTGATCTAAAGGAATAGAGTGATAATGGTCAGAGTAGTTGAACCCTGCTCACAAGACAGCATGAAAAAGATGGAGGAGGTGAAAATGGAGGAGGATGAACAGCATCTTGCAAGGCTCCCATGATTGGAGTAATTTGCACACCAGGGAGCAAAAGAGAAACCTTTGAGTGGGTGGTTAGGAAAGTTGATGTCTGATCACTACCTCTATTAGTAAAGAAAAAACGTACAAGATGTACAAGGATTGCTTGTAGAGAGCAAGCAGGCCAAGGAAATGTAATATGCTCCTTCTAGCCTGGAACATTTTAACGACTGTTCAGCCCAGGCGAACCATAATTTACAGGACAAAAATATTTTTATCAAAGGAAAATTTGACAACTTTTAGGTAAAAAAAATAGAGATGAACGATTAGATTGCGAATAATGTAGCAGGGAGAATTTTTATTCATCAATCTTAAAGGAACAGTTAAAAGTATTTCGTCAGTAGGCTAATAAGTGGATAGTCTACTAAAAGATTAAAAGAGTGAAATGACAAAATGAAGTTGGCTGTTGGGAACTATTCTTAAATGAAAAAATTAAAACAAGTCAGTTTTTTTCTGTATAACATGGGAGCACCATCTGTTACTCTTTTGACAATACTGCTGTTTTGGAACAAACTATGGGGCAAGCTATAAGAGCTAGCATTTCTACAGATAAAATAAAATAAAATAAATATATAATGAAATAAGAAAAGTTTCCTCTAAATCCCTTAGAATTAACAGTGAATAAGATGGCCATGCCTGGCTGTGCTCTGAGTATTAGGAACATAAAAGCAGACTGTAGTTCTGATGGATTCTCCTGTCTAAAAGAGGACCTCTACTTCCACAGTGTTTCTCCTGCTGATTGATTTGTATAACTGCTGTAGGACAGAGTAAAGTGGAAAGCAAAGAAGCTCCATCTCTGCTGGGTGGGGTCTTTTGACTCCCTGACTGTTAAGCTTAATGAAGCCTGGTTGAAGAGAAATAGTCAATAACAGCGACTATATACCGAAGAGATCCATCTTCAAAATTAGAACAAATTATTCATTCCACTTCTTTGGCAAGTTTCAAGAGGTTTCAATTCTGGATAATGAAATGCATGCAATATAAACCAAAACAACAGACAATAAAAAACAAACTAATATCGCATTACACTAAAAAAAAGTGTTTATGTAGATCTTAAATAAATGATTTTGTACATTATTTGTTTTATATACATACATCCTAGCTGTGTAGAAAACTGTAGACATAAATAGCAACATATCAATAATTCAAAACTACCAAAAACTAGAATATAACAATATGGTGCTCTTACTGATGTGTAGAGATGGCCCTCCCCGTTCATTGCGATGTATAACCCTGTCTTCACTGATTGAATGGCGACGACTCGGAGGCCCACAGGAATAAGGTTAAACAATGCTGCAAAACAGACAAATAGAAACATATGAATAAAAGTACTTTTATATTTTTTATTTCAGTTGTGTAAATCTGATTTATAAAGCTGAATATAGGCTGCAGAGCATTAGCACTTAAGCATAACCTTAGTAGTAGTAGTTGTATCTGGAACTTCCACTGCTGCATAGCATTAAAGTATTGTAAGTATAATACATTTTTAGCTATTTGCCTTTTTTCCTATTTTTAAAATAGATTAAAATTGTATTAGCAACTATTTAGTTCTTATTTAGTTTAGTATTCAAATTGTTTTTTTGTTTTTTTTTTATTGACATCTAATGCCATGTAAAGATAAAAAGGGAATTATCTAAATTCACATTTAGAAAATGTATCTGTGCTATTGCGGTCAAAGCTCTATCATCTAGTCATGTATTTAGTTAAATAAAGCCTGTTTTGATACATTCTGTATGTGTTAACTCAAAAGTAGAGGCTTCATATATATTATTCCTTTTCATGCAAAAAAAAAAATATTCAGCACAAAACATAGAGATATTGGTGAGTCTGAAAAATATTAAAAGTATTGCACAAAAGCCATTGTTACTTATGACAAGAGGTGAGAGTTGGATAAAAGTTTGCATCTCTAATATGACATTACTGCTCAAAATCAAAGAGAAAATGTTAAAGTTATGTCTAAGAATAAAAACAAACTACACTGAAAAAAATATTGCAATCATTTTTGGAATTTACTTAATCATATTTCGTTATTTTAACACAATTGTTTTAAAGTAACTGAGTATGATTAAGTAAATGCCAAAAACAGTTGTATTATTTTTTCAGTGTAAGATGATTAAAAGGACCAATTTGAACCTTGCATGCATCACATGCTGCTTTTCTACATAACTGCACTGCACTTAACGTATACTTATACTATACTTAACATTTACAGGTGCTGCTGAAATTAAAATCAATAAACGTGAATATACAGTGGGGTAAAAAGTCTTTAGTCAGTCATTGATTGTCTTCCTACTGAGAAAGGATTCATTCCTTTCTTTGTTTATGTTCTGTTTTCAATAATTACTCATTCAATATGTCTGTTCACTTTCTGTGTAAGTCAGCTAGAATGACTTCCAATGTTGAGGCTAAGATGACCTATGATAAACTTTCAGGTTCTGTTTTTACCTTATTTTGAAAATCTCTGTTCTGGGGTGAAGATTTTGAGAGCAGCTATGCTGCATTGGGAGGCACATCCTGAGAGAGTGTGTAGCTTGGGATAAGTAGTCTAGAAACATTAGATCAGGTCCAATTTGCCTGTTCCCACAGCTATTGTCAAAAGGCAAGAAGGTAGGCTATGGCAAAGAAAGTGGAGACTTCCTCTGTAGTTTGTTCTTATATCAGTGATTTTATTAAAACATGACTTGAACAAATTCTGTTAATGCTTAAAGATTTGTTTCTTTGTCTCTCTACACTATCTGAGAAACATACCTCCTTGGTTTAGAACTGTGTGATCAAAAACATGATCAAACAGGTCTCTAATATTCATCATAGGTACATTTCAGCTATGATATACATAATGAGAAAAATAAAATCCAGAAAATCATATTGCAACATTTTGAAAAGATTTATGTGTAATCATTTAATGTTGGGAAATAAGTATTTGTTCACATTAAAATAAGCAAGAGGTCTACCCCTCACAGACCTTTAACTGCTGTTCTTTCCTGCACTTCTTACCTGTATTATCTGCAGTTGTTTGAACTCATTTTCTGAATAAAAGACACCTGTCCACAGCTTCAAACAGTCAGACTTCAAACTCAAACATGACCAAGACCAAAGACCTGTTGAAGGACACCAGGAAGAAAATTGTAGACCTGCACCAGGCTGGGAAGAGTGAATCTACAATAGGAAAGCAGGTTGGCATCAATGAACCAATTGTGGGAGCAACTGCAAGAAAATGGAAGACCTGCAGGAGGCGGGACAAAAGTAACAGCGGCTACCATCACAATACATCAAGAGGGACTCAAATCCTGCAGGTGTGCCCCCCTGCATAAGCCAGTATGCTTAAGCAGGAAAACTTAATCTGAAGTTTGCCAGAGAGCATTTGCGTGATCCAGAAGAGGACTGGGAGAATATAATTTGGTAAAATTAAACCAAATCAAAACTGCTGGGCACAAACTCAACTCGTTGTGTTTGGAGGAAAAAGAGTGCTGAGTTGCATCCCATGAACACCACTCCTACTGTGAAGCGTGGAGGTGGAAACATTTTGCTTTGGGGCTGTGTAACTGCAAAGTGGACAGGATGACTGATCCATTTAGGAGACGTTTGAACAGGGCCATTATTGTGAGATTTAAAGTCAAAATCTCCTTACATCAGTGATAGCATTGAAGATGGAATATGGCTAGGTCTTCCAGTATGACATGGATCAAAAACTCATCACTCAGGCATTGAAAGAGTACCTCCGTAAGAAGCATTTCAAGGCTTGGGGTAGCGTTCCAGTTCTCCAGATCTCAACCCCATAGAACATTTGTGGAGGGAAAAGAAAGTCTGTGTTGCACAGCAACAGCCATAAAACATAATTGACATTTAGAGGATATCGTCATGGTTGCATGGACCAACATACCAGCTTCAGTGTCCGGAAACCTAGCTATTGTTGTCTATTACTGCCAACAAACGTATGCTACAAAATATTGAGCTTAACTCCTGTTATTGACTGAATACTTTTTTCAACATCAATTTGCTAATGTCTTTTTTTTTTCTTTTAGAAAGTTCTACAATGTGAAACATTTATTGAAAAATATTTTGAAGTGGTCAAGCTACCCTGAAATTAATGCTTATCTAACTAGTTCATATGTATCTTAACAAAAGCTTGTAACACAATAAAGGTTTGGCCCTGGGACTCACATCCTCCAAATCCAACCAGGTCTACAGTATTTTGTTGTTAAATGGCAGTCATCTCACCATTCTTTTTACTTTATTTTGCTCCATAGAGTGTCCTTCATCACCATATTATAATTGGCATAATTTTTTAATCTTTCGTTTTTGTAAAATCAGAGACCTTTAAATAAAGAGTAATGTAAATAGATGATTTAAATTTCTTTGAAGATCTATTTCCACACCATATTTGTAATAACATTAGCTTATATGCCATGAATCCTATCTATAGCTTGCTTTATCTGATCAAATGTGACATGTGCCAAACCTCCTCTTGCTGACAGCAGTAAGTGACACAATGCTGACTGTCAAGCCAGTGTTAGCACCAAGTCCAGGAATCAAATTAACCACCTTCCCTGAAGCAGCAGAAGAGCACTGCTGGAACAAGGCAATAATACCATTTTACTCTCTGTTATTCCTGCTTCTTTTTGATCAACTTTCTTCCACAGAGATAAGGATGAACTGGTGTGATTTCTATGGAACTACTGTAGTTAAAGGAGACACTTTATCATCACAGTCTTCACATTAAGGGGAACTATATTGAGCAAAGGGTTGGAGAAGACCAACAAGCAAAACGGGAAATGATTAAGCTCCACGCCAAAAAGATACATTTAAAAGAGTAGGAGTGCTGACAAAAGAGGGTTGAAATGATACAAGTTTAAAACAGTCTAGTTATGGCTACATTCTTTCTTTTTTTTCAGCAGTTTTTCTATTACTGAGAACATACATTTTTATTCTCAGAGACTAAAAGATACCACCACCGTACTCACTGGAATTACTGCTGTCATCCTTGGTCCCATCAAGAGAGCCATCTGGGTTCATTTGCAAGTAGAATCCCTGCCTGCAATATAACCTGGTCACTATACCCTTGAGCTGGGGATCTGTACAGGAAAAAGAAGAGAAAGAAAACAGTCAAGCTTCCTGTAGAAATGAAACAAGTATTTCCTGTGGAGAATAATTATTTCCAACTGGAGGTTAAAGACCTGTTATGCAGTGAAATAATATCCAAACAATGTTATTGGGAGCTCTGGAGGAGCTGCATAGATTCTGATTCTCATTGGGACTACTTAGAACTATGCACTCACAAAAATCAGGCTTGTAAGAAATAATAGAAAGAATGCTGAAACTAATCTCAAATAAATTAAGTTTGGCACAAGCTATGCAGGCAACAAATTTGTGGAAATGGCACCTGAGCCTATAGCCATGTCCAATTTGGTAATTTGGTAAAACTGCAGAACTTCAAACAGCCCATCCCTATGGTAAAATACTGTAGGTTAAAGGCAGCATCAGGATGCTTTTTCTTCACAGTGAAAATGAGGTTGCATAAATGTTGATGAGAAATCTGATGAGAATATGCCAGGGGATTGTATCAGCTCCAAGCAGATCACAAACACAAACAATGCAGCAAAAGCTGCATGGAGTAGTTTACCATCATAGCATATTCTTGTGTAACAATGTTTGAGTTAAGGTATAGGTGTAAATTCATTAGAAAATCTAGCAAAAAAATTTACTTATTTACTTATTTTGAGGTCTGTGGGATTTTGCAAAGTAGAATGCAGAAAAAAGTCCTTCTGCAAGGCATGGAATCAGGGCAAGGCTGAATACAAATCTAGGTAACATTTTTAGATTATTTGTAAAAAATAAAAAAAAAAGCTCCAAAATACCATAAAACATGATGTTGTTCCATTCCCCTCCCTCCTCTTTTTCTGTCTGCTGGCAAATCCCTAAACTACCTTTATGGGCTCATAAGCCCCACCCTGCTCAGAGCTAGACCATCCAATTTTAGACATCAGAATTAATTTGTGGCTTTCTGACTCCCTTAATGAACCCAACATCACCCTCTCTGGGATGCAAGTGTCTGCTTACCATCCCTAATCCAACTGGGGAATTAGCCATATATTTTCAGTAAATAAATATCTTCTCAGAGCCAGTGCATCTTTTATGTGTCACATCAATTGTTGATGGTTAAAATAAGTAATGTACATAATTAAGGAATAATAATATGAGGCTTTTTTTTATAAAGCTGAGTGAGGCTGTCGTTAACTTTTAATGCATTTTCTGTGAAATGAAACCAAAAAAACAGATAAATAGGTAGTGTTTACCTGATATGTTCAACATCATCCAACCCATTAAACCATCTCCCCCCACAAGCACCTGTGTATACTGTACATCATGTATCTGTATATGTGTGAGACAGAGAGATCTCAAGGGGTCTAACTGAGTTATGGCTTTTGTCTGGCTGTGCAGATCAGGGCATCCTCTACACAAATATAAAAATTGGTGACATATATCAAACCTTTCAAAAAATATATATATATATATATATTCTGCTGTGCCACCAGTTATGTTACAGATATCTGTGGCTGTTCTGCTGCTCCTAAACAATAAACAGACATCCAAAAGAAGAAATTATGTAGTTGTACTCTGCAAAAACATTTAGAGATGAAAATCAGACCAGTGTTTGTATTTAGTCTTCTTTCCTCTTTAACTGCTTCTGATCCACCATGATTAATGTAGTGGAGTCAAATGCCTTCAGAAGTCACATAACCTGATGAATAAAATCCCAATTCAGAGTAAAAAATAAAGGAATAACAAAATAAGTACACTGAAAGCACTTCATACAGTGAAATAAGAGGAAAGATAGGCAACAGGTTAGTAATTATCAGACATGCCATCCAAAACATCTAGAAATGTAGTCACAGTGCTTTAGTTAAGGGGAAACCTTTAATTGAAAAGAAATTGTGAAACTGTGGAAGACAAGAAATACAGTAATTGAAAGTCCCATTCGTAGAGGACAGTTGTGACAGAAGGTTTTTTAGTCAGACGAGGACAACTTTTGTTGCCAACATGTAAAAATGATCAAATTGGTCTTCTTTACGCTGACCATATCATTACCATCAGGTAATCTTATGGTAATGCTTTTTTTGGAGGGCCTGATCCCACCATGGAACCCGCGGACAAAAATAGCTGGGCAGCCCAGCTGGGGCCCACTCACCAGCCCAATTCCAACCCACATGGGCCCCTCATGGGTGTGTTGGCAGGGTGGTGGGTTGCCAGTTTGAGCCCCTGATCTCTCTGTCTCCATCATTTTGTCCTTGGGCAAGAAACCTCACCCACCTGGCCCGTTGTTTGTGATCAAATGGGCCTGGTGGCGCAGGCAGGGTAGCAGCCTATATGCAGCTGACTCACAGAAGCTACAATGAAGCCTAGTGTACAAACATCAGTGTGCAAATGTGTGTGAACAGGCAAATAAGAAGTCACCTGATTTGATAAAGCTTATAAGACTTTATAAAGCACTAGGACAGCTGGTCAGACTTGATTAAAAGATGAATGGGGCTAAATACAGAGCAATCATGAAACAGGGGTTGATCTAGAGGTGGGGGGGCAATCATTGGCCACCATTGTGCCCCCCCCCCCCCCCCCCCCCATCAAGTGATTTGTTGTTCACAATGGGATGTAATTCATCTCCTCTGAAACAAGAGGCTCTCTTCTTGTTTCTCTAAACCAGAGGATGGCAGCAGGGACACCATCACGTGGAATATCCTACTTTGATGTTTTAATTTTCCTATGTCAAACAAAACATGACAACAAAAATACAGCTATTAATTATTCACAACAATATACAACAATTAAAGAGGACTAAGAATATAGTTTCTCTGCTGTTATGTTGGAGTAGGCTACATAATTAGAAATAAACAACAACCGCTCAAACCATTTAATGTATACATTTTGTAGAATCATATGTTAAAATAACATGTATGTAGCTTCATTAGCAAGGGCCATGTGAAAAATATGGTCTGTCTTCAGTGATTTATTATACTCCAATGTACATTTCCAGGAAGAGCCACTTTAATTATAGAAAAATATAGAAATGTAAAAAAAAAACATGGTGAAGGAGTTGGATGTACAGCTTCCAGAAGCACAGTGAAGAGATTTAGGTGAAAGCATGAATTCCATTGAGAATATGAATTGAGAACACTTTAAAGCTGCTGTTTACAGGCTCCAGCTACTAAGACAAGTATTTATATATTTTGAAAAGATAACTGACAAAAAGCTGGTAGAGACAGACTCCAAAAATTTTTTACAGATAGTATAAAGTGTTGAATAATAGCAGATGAATACAGATTCACATCAAGCTTTTGATTTTTTTTAGTTAAAATTTTAGGAAATCATGCATATTTTTCTTCTTTTCAGAATGAATTGGTACTTTATTTTTGTGTTGGTACTCCATATCACATAAAACCAAAGGAAAATATATTGAAGTTTCTGGTTTTAACACATCAATAAGTAAAAACATGGGGGAGTTTAGGGTAAATGTAAATGTATTCAGTGGTATCATAGGGTGTAAATTGACCAATCAGGCGTATGATGTCTAGTGGTTTCTGGAATTATGTATATAATATAATTATATTTTCTCATTTATTCTCATTCCATGGGTGGAGATGGAAAATATTAGCAAAGCCAGCAACCCCTAAACAAATCCACAGAGCACTTTCCCAGAAAGACCATGTTAATGCAAACTTCAGTTTTGGTCTGCATTTCTTTTAAACAGAAGCCTCAATTCTGCAAGACCCAAGAACATTCAAGTGCTACACGGACATTTTCACATGGATTTTTAATGAGAGTACAATTCTCTCAAGCAGATCCCTTTGTGTTGATACACAAAGTTGGCAAATGTGAGATCGGTCAGGGACTTTTACTGGCTTTTAAGCAATGTGTGTGTGTGTGAGGGGGAGGGAGATTGATTCTCGAGAGCAATCTGTAATAATTAAAACTGCCTCCATGGCGGCTGGGTAGGAAGTCTTTGTGTTTGTGTGTGTGAGCATGCATGTGTGAGTTCTGTGGTGAGACAAGTTTCTTCATAGCGCTATAAATCATATGATGCTGGCTCTGTTTCCTGAGGCGGGATAGCCGGTATATCTCCCACACACAGATTCCCCCTTTAGGTTCGATCTCCGAAGTTTCACAAGCTGATTAAGTTGAACATCAGGAGAAATCTTTATAATGCAAAAACACTGAAAATCGCTCTCTATATGTAAAAATATGTTCCAGTGACAGTTAGTATTAGTAAAAATCTTAATTTTTGGAGCAGGGGACCCACCTCAGCCACACCTGTTACATTCAGTTTATTTTAACTTTAGCTATGGTGATTGTGTTTCAGTGCCACGCCTCGCTCGCACAAAACCAGTAATCTATTCACCACCTATTCCTTTACCACTATTATCTTCTCCCTTTATTCATCATTCACTATCCCTAACTCCTCCATTCTTCATACCTATCGTTTTCACCCCACATCCCTTCAAAGGAAATGTATCATTTCTTATTCATTCCTAAATTGTCTATCATCTTTCCCTTCAATGTCCATCATTTCGGATCCCTATACCATCCTCTTTTGCTGTCCTCCTTTTCCCTAACATCTCTATTGAAGAAGCCAATTTCAAACTTCACATTTTTTTCAAGAACAATGGAAATCTTTTAACATGTTGAGATTTTATTGGTTTTAGAAAAACTTACATCTAGCTTTTAGCTGTGCCACAGCATGGAAATGGCACTTTTAGGAATTCTTATAGATCTTGTGTTAACTATTGATTCTGGCAGGTCCATTGATTTAGTGCCATTAGATTTGATAGTGTTGATAATTTAACCTTGCTTTCACATATTTAAAACCATGTTGGAATCAAATGTATTGCATACAGTGGTTTGAATCACATCTGGTAGGTCTGTCTTTTTCTGTACATCTACAGTAAGTCCCTGTATATCTGATGTGGAGTGACGCAGAGTTCTATCCTAACCCTTCCATCTTGTTTTAGGGTTGTCAAAAGTATCGATACTCAAAAAAGTATCGATACTGAAACGTTGTATCCGGATACAATACTCATTT